GAACTGGTTCTAAGGGGAGGCGGCCAGGGATTGAGAAACAATAGAAATAAAGAAAGAAGATGCAGAAGTAGATTTAAAGCTGGGAGCAGGGTGGGACGCCATCCTTCCTCTCTGATGGAGAGGCTGCAAGACAATGACGACCCCTCCCAGCACATTTATTTTATACCCCCAACACCAGACAGAAACACCACAACTTAGGATCAAAGAAGCTTATTTGCATTCTTAAGGAGGCCCTAGCTTGCCTGAATTTACATATTTAGAATTGCCCCTGCCCACACCTGGGCTGATATGAAGGCCAGGCTGATTACACTTTCTGCCATCTTGGGGAAATGTGTATCTGAGCCTCGGCTCTGCCAGTTGTCTCGGACTCAGCTGACAATTGAAGGAAAATGCCCATGTGCCTTCCCTGGGTGGCCCTCTACACCCACATGGGAATTCAGGAGAAGGAAAGTGCTTGATTCTTTCACCCAATTCTCTGAAATACCACATATATCAGTCATCAGATCCTTACTGGAAAAAAGAAGTCATCCAAAAAAAAAAAAAATCACTGCAATATTAGGCAAGATGATAACATCAGGAAAAGCTCAGTTGATCAGCACAGCCGATGGCTTCCTAAGAGCAGAGTTTGTATTTATTTTCTCAGGGCACTTTGGTGGGTTCTGGAATTAACTTCCTGAGTTGGAATCTTCCCGCCTTGACTAGTTTCAGCTGTGAGATAGCATCTGTCAGACGCAGATTACGGAAGCGCTCATCTCCCGGGGTTCCTGGGAGCATTGAGGGAGACTGTCACAGGGAAAGCATTCAGTGTTGTTCCCTGCACTGAGTAAGTAATCCTCAGTAAATCCAGTCACTCTTATTTCTACTCAGAATTATTAGTGGTGTGCACTGGGGGTAGCACATACAGGTAATAATGAAAAAATTTCATAAGACACATAGAGATACTTGAGTAAAATCCACCCTCTGACTTATTCAAGGAGGTGCCTGCTCAGGGAAGGCACACAGGAGTGCGGGATAGGTGGGTGAGTGTGTGGGCTTCCTTTCCCTTCCTTGCCCGGGTAGAATGCACGGGAACCTGTGGGTAAACCTGCCTGCAGTTACCGGGGGGGGCATCAATACCCGGCCCAGGCTTCAGGAGCTAAAGAGATGAGCGGTAGGTAGCATGTCTTTCATGTTGTGGTCACACGGGCCTGCTGTGACCGGATAAACTCCTCCGAGGGGACCCCAACTCCCTTGCTCCTCCCAGCAGCCCTGTAAGTTCCATAGGGCCGGGGCACTGAGCCCACAGCACGGTTCCTGATTGCACCACTGGGCTGCAATCCGCATCATGGCTCCCAGTCAGGGCTGTTTCACAGCAAGCTCTTCCTTCCACGTTTGTTTCAAACTATACTGGTAGCGTATTAATAGAACATTAGAGATACAGTACGGCCAACAGATCAGGAAACGGCTGCCATTGAACAGATAGTTGATGACTCACATTTCCTTAGAGGACAGGCATGCCGTGGGGGGTCGGGGCGGGGAGCTACATGGGGAATCACCGGGTCAGTCACGAGGCAGAGAGAGAGGGAAGAACTGGGCAAGGGCCTGTTTCTGTGGGAAGGCAGAGGGACAGGCTAAGCCCTGGCCAGTGTGGGTAGTTTCAGGGGGCTCTGGGCCATAAGACTGTCCCTGGTTGCCTGGGACCCTTGCCGTGTTCGGGGCAGGTGGATGGTGGCCCAGAGGGTGAGGAGGTGGTGGGTTCTGGTTTGCATGTGAGAAGTGCACTCACGTTTGAGTTGTTTACCATTTCTGGCAACTGGCTCACGTTGGTTGGGAGGGCAGCCCCTCCAGCGGCAGCAAGATCCCAATGCCAAAACTTCAGAATACAGGAAGTCAAAGGCATGGCTACTACCTCATGGTGTGGCTTCAGTTTGGGGCCTTCAATACCTTCAATAACACATATCCCAGGAATGCATGTTCGATAACTAAGGTGACCAGACGTCCCGCTTTTGGCGGGACAGCCCCGATTTTTAACAATTTGTCCTGTGTCCTACGGCGTTTTAAAAAACTCCCGATTCTTGGCAAAAATCGGCACTTTTTAAAGCACCACGAGACAAATTGTTAAAAATCAGGACTGTCCCGCTAAAAGCGGGATGTCTGGTCACCTTATCAAAAACCCAAGAGGATGCCGGGTCTAAGACACCCTCCCCGCCCCCAAGTTGATCTCTCCCTTCTTCTCCAGGCCTCTGTTTCCAACTTCCTACTGGCAACCCCCTTGGAGGTACGCTTCATGGGTGTGAATTACTCTAGCTTTGCACCATCTGTGAAGCTAGGGATCTGTCAGCCTCAGCGCTGTGCCTCTTTTCCAGGTGCAGACCCTCTGCGGTCATATCCACGTGTCTCAACAGGAGTGAATCCCGCTGTGGGACTTTCTCTTTGGCCCACACTGTTCTCTAGACCCACCTGTCTTTGCCAGGATTTCTGGGATTAAGTCTCAGCTCAAGTGTGAAACCCTGTTTCTTCTCTCCCGGTCAAAAAGCTTGGAATGGCTTCCTAGTGATTATAGTCTCAGGTTCAGATCCTGGGCATGACTCACAGTAAGACATGTGTAATACCCTTTCACTGAGGGAGGGATCAGCCATTCTGCGTCCCTGACTGGGTCTCAGTCCTCAGCTAGTTGTCCCCCATACACACACACCATCCCTCCCAGCCACTGAAGGCCCATAATTCCTAAGGCCAAGGCCTGTGTCACCTCTGAGAAGCCGTCAGCCCTTCTGATGAGCTCACAGTAGCTTGGCTGTTTTTTTTTTTTTTACCTCTGACTTCTTCATCCCATCTTATTAATCATTCATCCAGCAGGTCTTTGTTGAGTGTTTAACCTCTGCTAGGCATTGTGTCAGGTGTTGATGCAGAAATAACTGAATTAGACTCTACCCTCAAGAACCTAATAGCCTCCTTGGGGGAGAATGAGAACCAGAGCTACACCCAGGCAGTCTTGTGAGTAATTACAACCAAAATGCAATACCTGCTGACTGGTGTATCGGCAAAGTCCTGTAGGCACAGGGAAGAAAGACCACCACCAGCCAGAGCTGGGAGAAGTTCTAGGAACTTGAGTGCATCTTGATTGATGGGTGAGGACAAGCTGACTGAGATGGGGAAGCAGTGACTCGAAGGATTTTTCTCTCTCTAAGAGCCCGAACGTGAAGAGTGGTATTCATGTGGGGCAGTGTTCACACCGCTTTTCCTTTTACTCCCTCCCACGCTGGAGTATTCCCTGGAGGTGCCCCTGATGAGCGACTCTAGTGTTTCTCAATCTCACGTGTGGCTCAGGGGAGCCGATAGCCAGACACAGCAGTCGGCATTTCCGCAGGTCCTTGGATTCTGAGAACAAAACATTTACATAGCACTTCTCTCACACAAACCCACATCTCCCAGCACCGAAGCTAACTGCGTGGTTGAAACGTGTGTTTTCATGGGGCCATCCTCTTTGTATTGATATTATGACTTGAACTTCAGGCGGTCTTCTGATCTTTCTCTCCTGCGAAGTTACCGCATGAACAAGCCGAGTGCCATAGAAACCGGAGACTGTCCTGGGGCCCCGAATATTCTAACCCGTCCAGCTCGGGTTGGGGTCAGGTAACTCCTTTGAAGGCCTGGCTCTGCTGCTCTCCCGTATGGACCCTCAAGCAAGTTACTTAACCACGTGGAGCCTTGGTTCACTTCTTGGTAAAACGCGGGGAAAACTGGTGCTTGCCTGGTAGGATGAGCTGAGCTGATGATTCCTGAAAAAATGCTCTTGAGCTGTGGTTGGCAAACCGCGGCTCTTTGGCCCCTTGTGTGTGGCTCTTCCACAAAATACCACGGCCTGGGCAAGTCTATTTTGAAGAAGTGGCATTAGAAGAAGTTGAAGTTTAAAAAATTTGGCTCTCAAAAGAAATTTCAATCGTTGTACTGTTGATATTTGGCTCTGTTGACTAATGAGTTTGCCGACCACTGGACTAGAGTGAACAATCCTATTCTTGACGTGTAGAGAGTTGTTAGTAAATAGAAGGTGTCCGTTTTTGGTGACATTATTATTAATATCATGTTCAGCAGATTTTTGTATGGGCCGGAGAGATGTCTTAGGAAGATACTGAATTATCAGTTTCCTTAAAATCAAGTAGCCTTAGGAGAGATGGAAGGTGGAGGGTAAGGGAGGAGGTATGTGTATGTTTTTTTAAACGTTGCTAAACCAGTTCTTAAAACATCACAGCTTGCCTTTGTAGAAAAGCTGAAATAAGGGATGGGGACATTTGCCATTTTTCCCTCTTTTGTCTGAATTGAAGGTCACTTCATTTAACTGAAGACACAGTAGCTTCTTCATTTTATATTCACCCAACTCCTGAGAGTAGTTCAGTAGCCTCATTTACAACACTTTAAGAAAATCCTTCTTACTCTTTAGTGTACATCCCTACTTCTGGAGGGTTATTTAGCATGTGTCCTTGTGAGTTCCTGGTCAGGGGGCGTGATATGCTTAGAGTTCGGGATTCTTCATCACAAATCCAGGCATCTGTGTGATTGCAGTGGAGCAAGTGCTTCTGTGTCATTGGTCTAGTCCAGTGGTCGGCAAACTCATTAGTCAACAGAGCCAAATATCAACAGTACAACGATTGAAATTTCTTTTGAGCCAAAATTTTTAAGCTTCAACTTCTTCTAACGCCCCTTCTTCAAAATAGACTTGCCCAGGCCGTGGTATTTTGTGGAAGAGCCACACTCAAGGGGCCAAAGAGTTGCATGTGGCCCTCGAGCCGCAGTTTGCCGATCACTGGTCTAGTCTCTATGTCTGAGCCTCCTTTCACAGAAATGTTCGACAGGTGTCTCGTGAAAGGACTCTGCTTGGTAGGAACATTATTAGGCATCTGTAAGGCGCTCTAAAAATAGAAATGAAAACCTGTGCAAAAGTAGAGTCTCGCTCCCTGTGTTTATCATTGAGAACACCATTGCCTGTTGTCATCGCTGTGCTTTCTTCTCGTCCACCCACGTAGGAAGAACGTTGGTGAAAAGCACAGAAACCAGTGACCTTTATTGCTGTGGAGTTTCCGTGAAGAGACGCACCCGGACCGTGCTTCGTACCTGGTAACCCTCCATACTCCCAGTGTGTCCTGAACTGGAGGGCACGGCTCAGGGTGCCCTCAGAGGAGGGAGCACGCCTGGCCTGTAGACAAGCTGGGGGAGGGGTGGGGGAAAGTCGGGGGAGAAAGACTGTGGAGCGAGTGTTTTACAACCTGAACCTCAGAACTGTGATCCTCCAAGGAGAGCGCTACTTGAAGAAAAGACAAAAAAAAAAAAAAAAAAAAAAAAGTCGAATGGCTTCTCAGGGATTTTGTTTTCTGTGCACATATAAGCCATAGTTCCAGCGCAGGTGGCAGTAGTTAGAGCACTCAGATTTCAGTTCTGTCCAATGTGACCGAGGGCGCGCCCGACCAGGCATCGCTGTTCCGTATAAACTAGTGTAAAATATGTACATGTTTATCTTTATTTTTATAATATGCAAATACATTTAAATTTATACAGTGGGAAGCTTCTAGCGTTAGTTAACACTGGGTGCAATATTCGCATGAGAACTGTGCCAAGATGGGGCTGGCTTCTTATTTTAGCAAAAGACCTTTCTGTTCATTCTTTATTCTGTAATCCATTGCAGATTAAAAAAAAAAAAAAAAGGAAAAAGATACCTGTCTGCCATGGGTTAAGGGTTGGTTGGTAGAGATTGCCAGTGGTCTATCAGGTACACACAGGCACTGCCTCCTCTCCTTCTAACGAAAGGTTCCGCCTGTGAGCTGCCACGTGTCACTACTGCCGAGCACAGTGTTCCTCGCTGACCGTCTGTGGTCATTGGTGATTCACCGATGGAGGTCTGGGTTCATGGTTCTTCAGCAGAGGAGGCCAAAGCGTTAGCGAGTCCATTGAGAATCTGGGTCTTTCTTCAAAAAATTAAAAAAAAAATTTTTTTTAATTGATTTCAGAGAGGAAGGGAGAGAGAGAGAAACATCACTGATGCAACAAAATCACTGATCTGCTGCCTCCTGCACGCCCCCTTCTGGGGAGGAATCCCACAACCCAGGCATGTGCCCTGCTCAGGAATAGACCCATGACCTCCTGGTTCATGGGTTGACACTCAGCCACTGAGCCACCCTGGCAGGGCCTGAGTCTTTCAATAGCTTTTAAGATAATCAGGAGTCAGGAATGAAACACGCAGAGACCTCTCAGAGTGAGTGCTCTCTTTTCTGGAACAGCGTCTGTGAAATTGAGCAGAGCACTTGGCAAGCCTCCACATCTGGCTGTCAGGCCTGCAGAGAGTCAGTGGCCTAATTGGAGAGCGTAATCCCCCCATTGGTTATTTATAAACACAGAGCCTCTGATTGGTCGGTCTCATGCCAAGAACTAGTAAAACTTGTTTTAAAATCTCCAGGAAGCAAAACTTTAAAAAAAAACAACCAAACTTAACAAATTGCTTTCCCTTCGATTTCTAATTGGGGCCACGCAGCATCTGCTGCTGTAGTAACACCTTCTAGTCAGAGGGATGTGAGGGACCATTTGCATCTGCCTCCTCTGCATGCTGATCGAAAATGTGAGAGACTGCATTCCCACCAGTGCGAGGCAGGAAAAGTGAGTCAGCTGGTTGTATTCTTTCATAAAGTATTAACTCGGAATGCCACAGGCCACAAAGTCGCAGCAAGCACGCGGCTGCATCGCAGAAAAATCACACACCAATTTTTGTAGGCTATTTTGTGCCCCAGGAGTTAACTTTACCAATTCCAGAATCTCCGGTTAAACAAGGGTGATTTCTTATGATCAGAAAATCATGTGGAATCAGGCTGTTTCTCAGTTTTTAAATACTTGAATATGACCTCGAAATTGAGATTTTGCTCTCTTTGGAACAGTCACAAAATCAGTCTGGTTGAGCCTTTTGTCACAGTTCTCGTGCGTGTGCATGGGCGTGTGTGCGTGTTTAAGTGTCAACCGAATGCTAATGTTTAATTGCTTCATGGACCATTGAATCGTAAAAGTTTCCAATTGGCATGAGACAGTTCTTAAACTGTCAAAGTGATGGATTTTTGTAAAGACTCTTAAGCCTGTGACTTGGAGCTAATTCTCCAGGGGACCATATTAAATGGGGGGGGGAAAAAAAGTGCCCCTTTGGGTGACATCTCCTGCAAAGTGTGTGCCCACATTCTTAATATACCTATTTTTCAACAAGTGATGCTTTGTGCTGTCATCCGAACCCTAGAGAAGCAGAGTAAGAAGAAATCATGGGGTCACGTGTGTCTAAGTAAAAAGACTGTGCCGTCGAGGGTCATGTGACTGAAAGCAGCTCCAGAAAAGCTTGAGACCTGGCCTCGGGGTCGGGGAGGGGTGAAGATCCAGAAAGCACTCTGCTCTCCAGGAGGAGCTGTCACCATCTGTGCAGGAAGCCCTTTCCTTCTCAGCACTGGGGAAGACCCAGCCAGCTGAGGCGACAGGCAGGTCACTGAGCACACGGGGAGTCTTCCCGCCAAGCAGTCCCTGGTCCCCCACAGAAACATCCTCCACTCCACGTTGGTTATGGTTTCTCTCTGTGTACCTTGCGCTGTTGGAACCACTTCCTAGAATTGTAACGTGCTGCCAGGATTAGTGTTCTCCCCCTCCCAAGAAAAAAATGACAGTGCGCGTACTTGACATGTGTGTGATGGACTCCCATGACTGAAACACACGGAAAGGGCTTGGTGTCATTCCTGATGGGTGACGGGATGTGTGTTGTTTTTCATGCCACAGTTTGTGAATTGTAATTGCAGTTTCCTATTTAATTGCCGTAACCGGACAGAAATGAAAAAAAAAAATTTCAATAAAAAATACAAATGTTTAAGCAACTATATTTCCAGAGTTAGTTATTTCTATGGGTGTTTTTCTTTTTATTTATACATTTGTTTTTAGTTTTGATTTTTATCACTTAAGGAATAACTTTTATATTTTTGGTAAGTCATTTTTGAGCTCTGGGAGGTGGGCTGGGTGGTGGCAGCTCGGTTTGGGGATTGAGTCCCAAAGAAGAAGGCTGTTTAAACTCTGCCCTCTGACCAGGCCAGTGTGGTGCAGTGGTTGAGCACCCACCCAGGAACCAAGAGGTCTCTGGTTCAATCCAGGTCAGAGCATATGCTCAGGCACAACCTACAGTGGGAAGAGTGCTGGAGGCGGCTGATGGGTGATGTTTCTATCGCTCTAACCCTCTCCCTTTCTCTCCCTAAGATCAATAAAAAACAACAAAAAACCCCACTCTGTTCTCTTTTTTTATTTTTATTTTTTTATTTTTTAAATATATTTTATTGAATTTGTACAGAGAGGAAGGGAGAGAGATAGAGAGTTAGAAACATCGATGAGGGAGAGTCATCGATCAGCTGCCTCTTGCACACCCCCTACTAGGGATATGCCCACAACCAAGGTACATGCCCTTGACCGGAATCAGACCCGGGACCCTTCAGTCCCCAAGCCAACGCTCTATCCATTGAGCCAAACCGGTCTTGGCGGTTCTCTGTTTTTAGACTGGAGATTCAACTCTTAAATATTGGCTCTGGTTTCTTAAATCAGATCCTTTTCCAGTGATCTGCTCTACTGAAGCGGAGCTTATGATTGTGTGATAAACTTGCAGGTTCCCTCTGCCTGGACTCTTAGCAGCCTGCCACCACCTTGTAACCCTCGGGGAGGGAGGGTATATCTCTGGCTGGGACCAGATACCAGGACCAGAGGCCCTATTCTCCCTGTTTGTTTGCAAGGACAGTTGAGAAACTAAAGAAAGAAAAAGAACGAGGCTGCTTCCTGCCGAAGCCACAGTCTCCAGAGAAAGACAAATGAAGGGAAGCCCCAACCTGGGGGCACAGAGAAGGGGCCCCCTCAGCCAGGAGGCTTCGAGTGATACTCCTGAGAAGGTAGGTGGAGCCAGGAGCTCTGAATCCAAATGTACCTCTGCCAGTAGAGAAGGTGAAATAATGAGGCTGGCAGAATTTTTAAACGAGCGGCATAGACAGTTTTGCTCTGACAAGCTGGCCCAGGTGAGTAAGGCCCTGTGCTCAGCCCTCTGTCCCTCCTGGTGAACAGGGCAGGAGAGCAGTCATCGCTGTGGGCATGGTTTTTCTTTACCAAGGACCTCGAGTTCTTCAAACGTGGCCAGCAGGTGTCTGTGGTAACAATAAGAAGTTCCTGATTTATCGCATTGATCACTCCTTCCCACGTCTGTTTCTCCTACTTAATTGTGAGCTTTTTGAAATAGATCCCAGACTTGCTTTGAGTATCAGCTGCCTTCTTACAAATCCAAAACATCACTTGTCAATGGACAAGCTAGTTATTTTATTTTTTTTTCAGACTTGGCATATGCCATTGTCATCCAGCGAGGAAGATGGCATCATGAAATACTTCCACGTGCTTTGAACTGGCAAAACTGTGTTTATGCCATTACATGGAAACCAGCTAGTGGCATGCTATTGATGAGGTTTGATGACGCTGAGGAAATTACAGCTCTCTGGTTACATGTTTCACTGTAACTGGTTTGCATGTCATCGGGAAAGAATCTTGATTTGGAGCTATTCCTTCATGCATGAGGAAGGAGTTTGTTATAAATAAGGGGCTGGAATTCTTAAATGAATTTTATTTCCTCAAAAGAGATGCAAATGAAGACAAGTAGATGGCTGTCAGTCGCCCGGCTGCATCAGAAAATTCCACTACTCGGTGCAGGTGACAGCAACATAATAAAAAGATGTCTTTTCACATACCCAGGGTTCTCTCTCAGCCAGTTCTGCCAAGCACCACTGGCCTTGCCAAGTCCCCATGGACATGGCCAGAGATACAGCTGATGCCGGACCAGAAGGAGCACTGAGCGTGGATAAAGGCCCAGATTGCCTTTAACTAGCCACGGGATCTTGCACATGTGATGGGACTTCCTTTAGCCACAGACTGTCCATCTGTATTCCTAGTGCTCGCTTACGGTCCCCTCCACAGTTTGAACAGAATCTATGTCAGTTCATAAGGCTGTTGTCCCAGTCTGCAGTGAAACA